ATTTGTTTGGTGACAGGGTTTGTTTGTTTTAGTCTTTGTCTGTAAGCTGGATACAGGAACAAAGAAATGTGGTCTGAGGTGGGGGTGGGGTGCAGCCCTGTATGCACTCCATATGTTACTGTAAACATGATCCAGAGTGTTCTTGCCCCGGGTGGGAATGTTCACATGCCGGTAATATTTTGGAAGTACAGTCCGTAAATTGCACTGGTTAGAGTCACCCGCCATGATAAAAACAGCATCAGGGTGAGCTGTCTCTAATGCGCTGATGACATCGTGGAGTTTGCTGAGAGCCACAGAGGGATTAGTTCTTGGGCTAACATACACAGCAGCTAAAAACACAGCACTATGCCCTCTTGCTAGATAGCAGGGCCAGCATTTCAGCAATAAAAACTCCACTTCTGGCGAACAGTGCTTATAAACAGTCCGTACATCTCCACACCATGAGTTATTGATAAAAACACACACACCACCTCCCTTTACTTTCCCTGAAGCCGCAATACGGTCTGTATTCTGATGTACAACATAAGCACAAGTATATGTATTTGTAACACTAATGTATGACAAACAACACTATGCACAACAATGTAAAATACTTATTTAATTGTAGGTAAAGGTTCTGTAGTTCAAATATTAGGCTACTCCTATAATTACTCTAATTATGATTAAAGTATTAGCCTATATGCACTTAAAGTACTTAACATATCAGAATCTGCTTTACTGGCCAGGTGTGTCGTACACACGAGGAATTTGACTCTGGTATTTATACATTAAACACATATAGCCCCTGAGTATTACAGTACTCTTTTGCTTGGTTGAGATGATTAGTTTACTATAAAGGCTACTGTTAGATTGGTTAATTTATAACAATTATGTTAAACAATTAAATAAATATGATTTGTTTATAGCTGGTTATATTGTTATATGTAAAAGGCGGTAACTATAGCTGCCAAGTAAATTCACTGCAGTAAAAAGTACATTATTTTCTTGTGACATGATGCAGTGATGTGCAACAAGTAGAAGCAAAAAGTAGCATAAATCGAAACGTTCAAGTCAGTTGTAAAGTGTAAATATGTATTTATGCTATTCAAAGTAGTGCTAAAGAGTTGCATATTTCTAATGGGAGACTGAATATTTGCTGCACAAATAATATAAAAGGCGACAAAGTAAATGTAAATGCCTGCAACGGTTTCTCTTCTCCAGCTGTTTGTGGTCATTTCCTCGTCAGCTGATTCAGACGGAGGAAAGAGAAGCGCTCCGCTAGCATCCACGATGATAATCACATCTCATCGTCTGGACAGTGATTGAAATGAACCAGTCAAATCCCTGATGTAATTTGAAACCGAGATAACCCTACGCCAATACCTGATTCTCTCCTTGTCTGTGTTCGCCATCATCGAAGTTCGGATCTTGTCGGAAACAGCAGGTAGTTGGCCACGTTAGCATCCTTAGCTTAGCTAAGATTAGCAGGGCAGCTAAATATGTCTGTCTGAAACCGCTAAATTAGCCAGTAGCTAGTTATGTTGACGTTTATATTTGACATTAATTGTTCTGGTGTAGTAATATAGGCGTAATTGTTTAGATGTAGTAGACAATGATATTATTCTGTATGTGATTTTCTGAAATTTAGGCTAACAACCAGCTTCGCCGGCTAGTTGACAACGGCTGTGATAATAACACTTGAGCTACACAGATGAATGTTTCATTTTCAGTACTTATTCTTCTAACGAGTCCTTGTTTTGTCCTTAAATAATACATCAATAAAAAGCAGTACTAGCTTCAGTCAACTCACTAAAGACAGCACCATATACCTCCCCATTTAAAAATCGAATAGTTTGCTAAAGTCGAAATCCATACATTGTCATCATAAATATTCCGCATTCCTCTCTTTTGACTTTCATGATGCAATATCTTCACTTACTTTGCCCAAACCCAGAGATTACAGTATCTGTAATGTTTTGTGCTGTAAAGTACCAGTTTGGTATGAATCCTGTACTGACCTTTTATGGATTGTAACTTTACATTTTTTCTCCTGAAACAGACTAGATTTCTCAAGTCTTCCTTCTGTGACCCTAACATGTTAGACCTGGCTCCTTCTCTTTCTCTGTCTCTTCATGCTGTCACTGCTTCAAATAGAGCCCTGTCCACTGGTCTCATCTCCTCTCTACTGGAAACCTCCTCTTTACTTGTAGCCACTGAAAGGTGTTTTGCAGTGCCAGAAAAGGACGCTGTTGAGAAACCACACCGTCAGGCTCAACTGGATTCAATGGTATAAGCTGTATTGTTGGGTTGAGAGAAGTGGTTTGTGTGTGTATGGTTAGCGTGTGCTGTGTTTCCCCTCATGAATGCATCTGGGAATGAGCATCACCTGGTGTTTAGTTCAGTGCCACAGAGGCGCTTTGTTGAGGCACTGTTGTGTTTTGTCATACTGTTGTGTAACCTTTAACACCCACCTCACCTAGGTTCAGGGGAGAAAAACAGCATGTTTTCCACATCTGACATTGTGAAGTTTTTCACCCAAAGGCAGAGCAACAATGGCATTTCCTGTCATAGCTGCTGAGACTGACTCATCGGCAATATTAGGATTTTTTTCATATGTCTCCATTTGTGGACAACTGGTATAATGGCAAAACCACTTTCTTCAATTGCTCCTGGTGAAAAGCAGACTGCAAAAGAAATCAGCTTTGTGACTAATAACAGAGTCAGCCTGTTTAATGGGAAGTGTTGGTGTTTGACCATGACCTGTCTTTATTTCTGCATTCATTACATAGAAAGTGAATTTTATAGTAATGAGTAATGTGTAAATTTAGAATTTCACTCTGCTCATAAACTTTGTCCTTTATTCTCCATTTTCTGCTCCAAGGCAGGAACCAGCTGTGGTTATGCCTGCAATTCAAATTACTTGCTACCAGTATTTCATTACTTTCTCCTGCAGCGTGCGGCTCAGTGAGGTGTCTGACTGTTTATGTTCAAGCTCTCTCACAGTGCTGCAGACCCTTACTGATCTCTCTTGTTTTCCTCCTGTCATACAGAGGGAGCCAGATCGGGAGGAGCAGCCTGAAGACAACATGCCGCCCAAGTTTAAACGACACCTGAATGATGATGAGGTCACGGGATCCATTCGCAGTGAGAGGGTGAGATACAGAGGAAGGGAGAGGTGGTGTTTGGAGACATCTTGTTTATCACTGTCATCAGAAAGCTGGGGTTAGATGATTGAAATGGTGTATAAAGTGAGACAATTGAGAAATCAACAGGTAAAGTAAATGGTCTTATACTTGTATAGCGCCTTTCTATGCTTTACAGCTCACTCAAAGCGCTTTCAGACTATTTGGCCATTCACCCATTCGCACTCACAAACACTCACATTCACACACTGGTGTTATCACTGGGAGCAACCGGGGGTTCAGTGTCTTGCTCAAGGACACTTTGACATGTTGACTGGACAAGCCAGGAATCGAACCACTAATCCTCTGGTTAGGAAACGACCCGCTCTACCTCCTGAGCCACAGCCGCCCCCAAAATGAATGTAGAAAGATGCCAGGGTGGGGGTTATTGTAAAAATTAAGTGTAAAAATAATTAATTGGATGCACTGAATGTATGTCGTCATAAGGTACTTTATTCCCCAAACTAATGATTGGGGAATTGAAGTAAAGAAAAGAACAAAGTGGAGTGGACCTTTTGAAGAAGGTCGGGGATTCAAGGAGTTACAATGGGTACAGAAAGTTTTCAGGCCTTTTCAAGTTTTCTACATTTTGTTATAGATCAGCCTCGTCTTATAATGGATTCAATTCATTTCCCCCTCATCAATCACACAACTGTCACCCCACTAGAAATGTGTCTTAGGTATGTGGCCTTCATAGGTATCTCCTAGACAGACACACAATGACAAAATGAAAACAGTATTTTTTAAATGTACTAAAAATAAAAGACTGAAATATCCTATTTACATAAATATTCAAACCATTTGGCAGCAATGACAGCCTCAGTCTTCTTGAGAATGAAGCTACAAGCTTGCCACACTTTTCTTTTGGAATTTTCTTCTATTCTTATTGTTAGGATTGTTCAAGATCAGCCAGGTTGGATGGGGAGTGTTTGTGCACAGCCATTTTCAGGTCTCTCCAGGGATGCTCCATTGGGTTCCCAGAGTTTTCCTGAAGCCACTCCTGTGTCTTCTTGGCAATCTGCTTCTGGTTGTTGTCTTGTTGAAATGTAAACCTTCGCCCCAACCTGAGATCTGAGACACTCTGTAGAAGGTTTTCATTCTGAACTGCTCTATATTTTTCAGCATCCATTCTTCCCTCACCCCTGACTAGTCTCCCAGTCACAGATGCAGAAAACCATCCCCACAGCCTCTTGCTGCCACCATCGTGTTTGATTATAGGGATGGTATTAGTGAAATGATGCTCAGTGCCTGGTTTTCTCCACACACACTATTGGGAATTGTGGCCAAATAGTTTCATCTGACCAGAGGATTTTGCTTTTTATGGTCTGAGACTCCCTCAGGTGCCAAAACTCCCAGCAGGCTGTCATAGGCCTTTTAGTGAGGAATGGCGTCCTTCTGGCCAGTCTACCATAGAGGCCTGATTGGTGGAGTGCTGTGCAGAAGGTTGTCCTTCTGTAAGGTTCCCCCATCTCCAGAAAGGAACTCTGGATTTCATTTATAGTGACCCTTGGTTCTGTCTGACCAAGGCTCTTTGTCCCTGATTACTCAGTTTGGCTGGGCGGCCAGATCTGTGAAGACTGTTGGTGGACGCTGCTGTGCTCTTGGGCACTTTCAGTGCTGTAGAAATGTTCTTGTATCCTTCCCAAGATCTGTGTCTTGATGCAGTCCTGTCTTGCTGGTGAGTGGACAGCTCTCTCCACCTCATAGCTTTGTTGTCACTCTGACATTAGGGATGGGCGTATCGATAATCTGGTATCAATACTTCGATACCCGTCGGTCGATATTTTGGAGTCGATACTTTTTTAAGTATCGCGATACCACTGTGCTATTACAAAAAGTGTAATTTTTCACTTTTGAGAGTTTTAGGTATTAAATTTATGTGTGAAAACCAGCCCAAGTGTATTTTAGATGGTCTTCCGTGTCACATGATTATGGCAGCCAACCAGATGTCAGAGACGAAAGCTTACTGCGCAGCCCCCGCTAAAGACCAGAGACGAAGGCTTACTGCGCAGCCTCAGTTAAGCACTGCCTCAGAGTGCGCTCAATCAGCAGCACCGTGGCGCGGCAGTATGAATGGCTGAGAGAGAAAAAGAAGCGTAGTGTGGTGCTATTTTCCCCCCACGACCAGAGGTAATGCCATGTTCTCCGTCTACAACAAAGTGGTGCCACATAGCAGCAACACTAGCAACCTCTTTAAGCATTTAAAGATAGCACACCCTGACACTTTTAAATAGGCTGAACATCGCCACGAAGACAACCAGCAAGCCTCAAAGTCCCCTGCACCACCTGCTGTCCGTCAGAAGACATTGCAGGAGAGTTTTGTGAAAGGCAAAGAATATCCAGGTACAAGTGACAGTTGATGTGTTGTAAGTGATTTAAAAATATAACGAACCATTATTTTATTAAACTACCCCAATCTGCAACTGAGCTATGCGAATCTTGGATGAAGCCATGTTCACCACTCTTTCATTTAGTTGACAAACGTCCATATGCTTGTACTGTATATATCAGAAAATACTGACAGTTTTATTTCTAGAATGTTATTAATGGGAGTAAATTTCCTTTAAGGGGCAAAAAGTATCGGTATCGATGGAAAAAGTACTATAAACTAATGGTATCGCATCGAAAGAAAAAAATGTTGGTATCGTCCATCCCTATCTGATATACACCATCAACTATGAAACCTCATGCAGACGGGTGTGTGCCTTTCCTGATTATGTTCGATGAATTAAATTAGCCCCAGGTGGACTTTAACCAAGCTGTAGAAGCATCTCCAGGACTATTAATAGGAGTAGGATGCACCAGAATTCAACTGCAAACGTAATAAGAAAGGGTCTAAATAAAGACATATATGTGTGTGTGTGTGTGTGTGTGTGTGTGTGTGTGTGTGTGTGTGTGTGTGTGTGTGTGTGTGTGTATAGAAATGGGAAATTTCAGTCTTTTATGTTTAATCAGTTTTAGTTCCTGGTAGGCTAGTGGTTAAGGCGCAGCGCTCTCGCCGCTGCGGGCCTGGGTTTGAGTCAGGGTTGCGTCAGGAAGGGCATCCGGCGTAAAACACGTGCCAAATGTCAACATGCGAGTCGTCGGTGTGACTATTTGCTGTGGCGACCCCTAAACGGGAAAAGCCAAAAGTGACTTTCTTTCTCCAAAAACCTGTTTTCATTTTGTCATTGCAGAGTATTGTGTGTAGATTGAGAAAAAACAAAAAGACAAAGACAAAGCCTGACAACACTTGCAGTTTATAGAGCAACTTTTAATGTCAACACCAGTGCGTTTTAGCGTGTAGCCTTCATCAGGATACACATGGAATTTTTGCTTTTCCAGTGTGTTTTTTCCTCGTCTGTGCATCTTGTCAGAGTTGTGCAAGAAATGTCTGCTTTGCATTGTCATCATTTCCCATCCCAGAGTTATCAGGCAGCCAGAACTGTCAAAAAAAAGTCTAAATATTTGGTGATTCCTAGTCCCAGTACTGGCACTCACCAGTAGAAAAGCTTTCCTTCTGTAGGGGAAGCACTTGCCTTTTTCACTGCCTCCAAGTCCTGGTGGTTCGAGCTTCTCTCATGGGATTTCCTCAAATTAGGAGACAGTTGTTGGTCAAGACAGAGAGCTTACCCTCATCTGACCTCTAATCTTTTTCTCTTTTACAGAGGAACCTGCTGGAAGAGGACTCTGACGAAGAGGAAGACTTCTTTCTGTGAGTTTTTATGAGGATATTTTTTTTTTCAGAGATAAGTTTAAACAGCAGAGTTCTGCTTAACCAGATGCTGGAAGCAGTAATATTTAAAATTATTGTGAACTCGTACTACACAAACTTAAAAATGCAAAATTAACAGCAAAATATGTTTTTAGTGTTGACCATTGCTTCATCGATGTCTGTTTTCCAGGAGAGGGCCCTCGGGACCCAGGTTTGGACCTCAGAACAACAAACTCAAGCAGTAAGTACTAACACATGCCTCATTGCGGCTAATAGCCAGAGGTCAGAGCTGTACTACCAGTACCCTTGCATTTTGGTGCTGGTGTTATGTAACTGTGGCTCGTCATGTTTACCAGAAGCGGCGGTTCGTATTGAATTGTATAAGAGCCCGTCATGCGCAGATTATTGTGAAACCTTCCCAGGATGTCTGCGATATGTTTCCACATTAATCTCTGGTCAGAGACGGCCTGAGAACAGATTGTTGAGACAGTCTGGCACCCGGACTTGTTTCTCCATGCTTCCTTCATACCTTAGTTTGTCACCATGAACACATAAAACCAGATGCCATCAACTACAAGGCTGATAATTTCCTCTTTCCCCCCCCCCCCTGGTGTGGGCCCTGCCTTGTTTGGGGGGGGGGGGGTCCGGGGTCCGGGTCCGGTCAAAGCCTAGACCTCTATCCAATGGAGAATTTGTTGCTGGACTTGAAAAGGGCTGTTTACGCTTGATCCTTGCAAACATGCTCAAGTTCTGCCAGGTTGCGCAACAAAGAATGGAGTGAAATTACAGTGTCCAGATGTGCAAGACTGAGACGTATCCACACAGACTCAGTGCTGTGTGCAGCCAAAGGTGCATCTACTAAATACTGACTTGAAGGGGGTGAATATTTATGCACTTATATGTATATATCACTTATTTCCCATTACATATTTTTATTTAATTGTAATAACCTGTTTTCACTTTGACATTAAATCAGAATCAGCTTTATTGGCCAGGTGTGTTAGACAAATGAGGAATTTGACTCTGGTACAGCGGCTCTCAATGCGTATGTACATGTCCTTATGTAAGGCAGCAGTCGGCAAGTAAACAATATAAGGCTGAGAACAGAAGTAAAGAAGTAATGTGCAGTTTTGTCAGAAGCCAAATTATATTGACCATTTATAAAATCAATAAAAGGGTAAAACATCCAAGGCGGTGAACACTTTTTATAGGCACTGTAGTAATGAAGGGTAATCTGCTCTGATCATGCCATGCTCGGGTATGATAAGTGTGAACAAAACAAGGATTTGAGCGCAATTCACCAGATACTCAGCAGCTGCAGACAGGTCACAGTGAGGCTGGAAACCATCTGCAGGCATTTTATTGCTTGCCAGCTGGACAAAGCTGGTTATAGAGAAAAACAGGTGCTTTGAGCCGCACTAGGTTACCAAAAGAAGAATCCTTGACAAAATTCTGCCTTTTCATCTTTAATGATTCACGTCTGTTATGTAGGATTTTGTGTCTCACACCGACTTGTGTCCTCAGGGTGCAGTCACAAGTCGACGAGGTGATTGATGTAATGCAGGAGAACATCTCCAAGGTGATTGAGAGGGGCGAACGTCTCGACGACCTGCAGGACAAGTCGGGTGGGTCACACTGGGAAAGAGAGTGTCTTTGTGTCTTCATGTGCAAAAAACATGTGTGGTTTGTTGATGTAGAAAGCAGAAACTCTAAAAGGGAGTGTTTTTTGTCAGTCTGATTCATTTGTTTTGATCTTTTATTTCCACTGGTAACTTGCACATTGGTGGATTCTGTGGATCATTTTACACACATAGCTTAAAAAAAACAGACTTGAAACTAAAAATAGCCTTCAGGTCGTGGCTACTTTCCTAAGTGTGAGTGATGGCCCGCACACAGGCAGTGTAGACAGCTTCTACATATGGTTTGGAAATGGACTGGCTTATTCTGGGCGATATTGATCCTGTGCAGTATGTCTTGATCAGGACGTCTGTAGTTTAAACAACCTTTACAGACTCTGGTGCAGCAGGGCCCCAGGTACTGATGTTCTGAAACAGTCGCTGCTTGCATGTAAGTAAAGTAGGTAAAACACCAAAGAGTGTATGTTGACTGCTTTTGACCAGTCTCTCACTTTTATTCATACACAGCTCCACTCTCTCTCTCTCTCTTTTTCACCCAGTGTGTATCAGGGAGCTGTGTGAAACATGTTTAGCTTAACTCCGTAACACAGCCTTACACACATATGAGGCTTTGATCAAACATGAACAGGTCTCTGCTGAGGTAGGGATGAGGCCTATGTGCTCCGGTCCGTTGCCTGTCTGTAGTGCACACAGATGTTGTATTACTGCTTATGTCATGTGGACAAGCCGACCAAAACGATCACATCTGGAACACATTGTTTGTGTGTGTTTTCTGTATTTATGGGCCTGTGGACGTTTGTGTGGCTGTTTGCGTGTCTTTACAGTGTGTGTTGTTTATAGTAGCTGTCTTTATGTGAACTCTCTGATACGCTGCAGTTTGCTCTCTGACCTTCCAGTAGTCCACTTGTAAACTTCCACAAAATTAACAAGCATCTTCTCAGATGCCTTGTCTTGTCTATGGAGTAGCAACAGGTTGTTAACAAGCATGTGGATATTGCAGACACCTGACAGACAAATACTCTGAAGAGGGACAGGGGCTCAGAGGCGTAGAGTGCTGTTGGCATGTGTAGAACATCCAGCTGACAAGAAGACATAAAGCGGTGTGGGCGAGCAGTTTGGAGACAAAAGGGAGGAAGGTGGAGCTTCTGCTCTGCGGTGTATTGATTTGGCAACTTGTTTAACATTTCATGCCAACAGAATTTTCTGAAAATTAAAAAAAAAAACAACTCGTTCATAGGCGTGATTTCACCAGACTAAGACTTGCATAGCTCAAGCACACTCACAACACAGAGCAATGCAGTGTGGGTCACGGTATTAAAATTAAAGTGAAAACTACAACCAGATCATTGTTTCTTTTGCCACTAAATGTTTTTTTTTTCCCCTCTCCTTTTGATTTATGTTTTTCCTCGCGTGTCCTTGTCTGCACTCCGGTCATGTGATGCTCCAGAGAGTCTATCAGACAATGCATCTGCCTTCAGTAGCCGAGCCAAACAGCTGCACAGGAGGATGTGGTGGAGAGACATGAAGGTGGGCTTTCTGTTGTACAAATCTGTGTGACACTTTAAACATATCTCTTGCTTGTTTGCATTAGTGTATTTGTGTATTGTGTTCTGCCCCGTGTCAGATGTTTAATGCATGTGGTTTCTTCCACAGATGAAGATGATCATTGCCTTGGTTGTGGTTGCTCTCCTGCTCATTATCATTAGTGAGTATCAGCGCTGGTTAAGTTGACACAATGTGCCGAACGTTTTATTAAATATTCTTTCTCTTCTTTCAGTTCCAGTGATCCTGCGATACCGCTAGTGTCTAACCAGGACACAAGTGATATCCTCTCTCTCTGTCCTCTGCACACAGTTCTCCACTCCAGCTAGGGGGCACCAGCCAGCATCCCACACCCACAGTTTCAGCCTATGTATCCTCAAGGATCTGGGCTCAACTTGTCCTTAGTACAGATCTTGTTGTTGGCATTTCCACTCAAATCTGCTTTGAGATTAGTACTAAAGCTTGGTTTGATCCCTGGCTTAATTCTAAGCTACAGAAAGGGAACACAGGGAAAGAATTTTAATGCAGTTTTGGAGAAAACGCTGACTCTCAGCCCTCTAGTCAGTGTGAAGGAGTGCTCCATTCCATGATGCATAACACATGTACAGCCCTGGCTTCGCCTTGACAGTGGGAAAACTTCAGGTCCTGTAATTTATATCACAGAGATAGATGGATACTGTAAAGGTGGGGAATCGTGCCAACTGTCCCTTAGTTTAGCTGGTCTGAATCTGCTGCAGCTTATAAAGATGTGAAAATACCCACTGAATGAAACCTCAGTTATCTACCCATGATTCCTTGTGTGCTCACTGGCAGGAGGCAACATGAGGGAACATCTGAGGTTCACCCACGCAGTCGAACGTCTTTCACCTTTTCCTTGTTTCCTTATCAACACGGTTGGAAAAGTGATTAAAAAGCAACGCCATCAACATCCTGTTTTCTAACATTGTTCTGCCTTCCTAAATTAATTTCTATTCCCTCCACCTCTTAATAGCTTGTACCGCAGGGCCGTGTCAAACCAAACCACCTCTTCTCATCCTCTGTGCTCGAAACCTCTCTGCTTTCTCCTAGCTTGTGTTGAGCTCTGGGCCAATTTGGTCACAGCTGTCATGCCTTCCTGTTAGTGGCATTAAACCTTCTGTCTCTCTCGAGGTTCAGCTTGGTTTTAACGCTGCATCTATTTTTACTTATTTGAAGTCCTTATTTCTGCTGGTCATTCATTGTGATGTTTTTTTTTTTTTTTTTAAATGAATGTTGCCATTCCTGTCGCCAATGAGAGGGCAGTAAATTTCTCTGTACTGTAGTGTTATATTATGTTTAAGGAGGGTTCATTTATGTGTTGGAAGTAAAAAAAACTTGAGCTGTGAAGCAAACATAGGTGTCATATCTATATTAATTGTATAATACATTAAAACTCTACATTGTTGTTTTAGTATTTTTAATGTAATTTATTATAGCTGTAAATATTGATTCCGTACTGATGTACAATATTCTGGCACTGCATTGGAAGATATACTGATGATTTTTGCTCTGAAATAAAGTGATTTTAAAGGGCATTTGTCTGGATAAATCTGGTTTGAACTGGTCAACCAAATCAGAAAAAAGTAGGAAGAAAGGGGAGAACTTGAGAGGAAACAGAGGGATTGATGGAACAAAGCTGACTGGAAGAAAGACAGAAAACCTAATCATAATGCCATCCCTCCTCACACTCCAGCCAAAACTTTCTTTTATCTCGTCTTATTACCCGTCTGTTTTATGAGGTCTGTGATTTTACTGGCAGTGTGGAATCCCAAGATGGCACTTAAATTGGAGGGAATGGAGCCTGTGAAATGTTACTGAGGTCCTCATAGGATGGTAGATGCAGACGCAGCCTGACAGCTCTGTTCTGTGCTCGGCCTGCATCGCCAACCCTTCTGATGGAGAGGAAATGAAATTTGCCCATAGGGATCTTTCTCTCCTTTGATTCAGGGCCAGCGGCCTTCCAGCTCACAGTTGTAGTTGGTGCACGCAGCAGGGGCATTAGTTCAGCTTTGAGGAGGAAGAGGGGAGATTTCATTTCATATGCTCTGTTCTGTGGAAGCACATGTACTCGCATACTGTACTTCAGTATAATTTTGAGCTCTTTGTACATGAGTATATTTTCTGCTGTTTTATACCCTGACTTCACTACATTTCAGAGTCAAATACTGTACTTTTTACTCCACTACATTTATTTGATAAGTTTAGTTACTAGTTACTTTTCAGAACCAGATTTAAAAAATAAGATTTTTGATTCCCACAGTACTTCAAATTATAAGCATATAAGGTAGCTTCATCTTTGCCATTTGCAACATAAATGTGATGTACATAATAATGCCATGACAATTATAACAATAATGTAATAGATTATATATATACAGTATATATCTGTGTGTAATGTGCTATTTTGCATAATGAGTGCTTTTACTTTTGGTACTTTGTAAGTTTATTTTGATGCTGATATTTTTGTAATTTTACTTAAGCAACTTTTTTTTTTTTTTTGCAGCTCTACAGAGTATTTTTACACTGTGGTATTTCCACTTTTACTTAAGAATCTGAGTACTACTTGCACCACTGCTTTAAATGTTGATCTACTTACTGTAGGTGTGGTGAAGAAGCCTGTGTGCCATTGGTTGGTTCCTGAGTTTTGCTCAGTTGCACTGAAATCTAAGGTGGTAAAGTCCTAGTTGGACTTTTCAGGTCTCACAAATGTGTTGTTGGCATTTGCTTTAACGCAGTCAGAACATTATGCCTTGTTTTTGTGTATTAGGAGATGTTTTTATCCTTTCTGTCTGCAGGCACACCCAGACTGGCAGGAGAGGATGTTTTGGTTCCTCTATTAGGGGCTTACAGTGGATGACTTTAAGAAACCTAACCCACGATACAGGATATGAGGAGTAAGAGGTGTGGAGTTGGAGTTGGAAAGTGTGAATGTCTGCACACCTGCCTAGTTGCCTGTATCTCTGAGCAAGTGTCTCACTTTCAAAACTTTCATCCTGCCTGTAATCCTCACAGGCAGTGGTTCAACTTGTCTGTAATACTGTGACAGTAAAGAGACGGGAGGGAACGTACAAGAGGCAGAGTGGAAAAAATCCACCTAAGTGGACAAGAAGTGAGCCCAGGGATGAACTGCCCCTGGCTGATGCTCCATGTTGTTAAATGTAACTCTTTTAAAGCATGAAAACATTGACATATCGTATACAAGCGCCACGCTCAGCTGAGGCAACAAGTCTGTGTCAGGGTCAATAGTCAATATGAAAGGGGACACCAGCTCCTCCGGAGGTAACTGTATCCAACCAGGCCCAGCTTTCCCTGCCATGCTGGGTCTGAGTGTCAGCTTGGACACATGGGACTGCAGCAGGCAGACATGTCAGAGGATGTTTTTAAGTATAAGACATGAATAAATGAAGACACTGTAGTGGCTGAATGTTGAAAACATGACATGACACAAAGCTGTCATGTTGAAGCTTCTCTCTCCCTGTGTCTCTTCTTCCCTTGAAAAATCTTTTTTCAGAGACATTCAAATGTATGAAAATAGGTGTTTTTGTCCCTATTATATTCTCTTTTCTCCTTCCCCTTTTGCCTCTGATCTGCTCTCCCCTCAATCTACTCCCTTCCACCTCCCTCCCTTTCACTTCTCCTCTCTTCCTGTTTCTCTCCTTCCCTCCTTCCTTCCCCTCCAAATTGTATAAATATCTGTGAGCTGCTGGAGAGGGCTCAGTGTTACAGACTGAGGACAGAAGCCACATTGATAAGAGCAGGAAGAAGAAAAGATACCTCAGAGAAAAAAGGAAGGGAGGGAGAAAGAAACTAAGTCTTCACCAGGATTTGGGAATTAGTAATTTTAAAACAGGAATTTTGAGCTGAAAAACAAAGCAGAAGTAAACTCTGGTTTGTTTGTGTGGAGGCACTCTGCAGTATGTTCCTCCTGCTTGTGTGTATGTGTGGTCTTCTGCTGCAAGGTGATGCCCAGAACCGAGCTGCTCTGTGGAGGGGAAACGATCAAAGCGGCCGATGCCAGTACACTTTCACTGTACCCAGCCCTGTCGAGTCTAGCTGCCCACAGACCGGTGGCCCGGAGATGGAGGACCTGAAGGCCAGACTCAGCTTGCTGGAGGTACTGGTGTCCCGACTGACTGGAGGGTACTCTGGGGGTCCCCAGGTGGCTGGAGCCAGAAGTCAGTCTGACCTTCAGGAAGCACTGAATCAGGCCATGGGGGAGCGGAACCTGTTGCAGGGGGAAAAAGAACGCCTGGAGAGGGAGCTGGCGGGGCTTCAGCATAGGATGGAGGAGATGAGGAGGGAGACGGAGAGGCTGATGAACAGACCCTGTCCTCCGCAGACTGTGGTGCCACCCAGCCCACTTGGGCAGGATAGTGGCCTGATAAAACCTTCTGGAGGTAAGAGAGACACTCAAACCCCCACACACTTTAAGAGCTACTACAAAAATGTGTAAAGCTTAACGACATTTATGAATATAAAACATTTTGTACTCACAACCCACTGACTGCCTCAGTGCAAAGTGTCCATCCTGTAATTAAGAAGTACAGCTTAATGTCTCAACGGCCTGCAGTCTGCACAAAACCCCCTTAAAGAAAAAGGGCAATAATGCATGTGCATGCTCTTGGGGGCAACTATGGCTCAAGAGGTAGAGCCTCTCCTAACCGGAAAATTAACGGGTCGATTCCTGGCTTGTCCAGTCAACATGTCGAAGTGTCCTTCACCAAGACACTGAACTCCTGGTGATAACGCCGGTGAGTGTTTGGGAGTGTGAATGGGTGAATGGCCAAGTAGTGTGAAAGCGCTTTGAGTGTGTTGTAAAGCATAGAAACATACTATACAAGTATAAAAGCATTTATAATGCATGTTTATGTAGTGTATGTTAGTGTATTTGTGAGGTTAATGTTTTGGTTGCCTTGTTAGTCTGATAGGGACACTCATCTCAGGTTTCTTTCCTCCCTGTTTCCTACCTACATTTAGTGGTGGCAGGCCAGGGAGGCTCTGCTTAGTATTTATGAGCCAATCCTGCTGTCTTTATGGCTGGTGTTTCCCTCTTCATGACGAGCAGCGTGTGAATAGCACAGCCGTGGAAGGGAGGGGTAACTGAAATGTTATGCACGCTCTGGCAGTAAGGAAGGATTTACTGCTCCTGGCAGCCCATCATCTCCTGTTGGCCAACATCCCCTTTTCTTTTTTCAGTGAAGCCATCCCTCTGTTTACCGCCTCAGTTCTCAGTGTATTGCTTATAAATCCTTCCCTTACTTAACTCCCCATCCACCAGGCACCAGAGCTCCCAAACTCTATTTTCTGCATACTTCAGGTTGTCTGCTGAGCTCCTCATGTTTGCACCTGCAGACTGAAATACGCAGAGAGGGCCCCTCAGGGAGGGAGCCAGAAGTGGAAGAGATCACAGTGAGAGGAAGACATGCAGAACTAGAGAGAGGAGATAAAAGTCGGAGCGTTCTGACCAGCTTGTATTCAAGAATGAGGATGCAACTTTGACAGGAAGGTTTACAACCTGGTTATGTCATTCTGTAACAAAGCAACACATATGGGCTGATCTCCTGTAATGTTAAAAATTTATGACTTTAAAACAAGACCTTCACATAAAATTTGCACTAGAAGTGACAACACAGACCATCAAGCCGGTATGCTATAAATGGAAACATTATTTTAAAGAGAAACATGGCCTGTGCTGAAAGCAGAACTAAAACTAATTTAACCCTCTGGCGCATAGTGGTCACTGCAGTGGGCAGCTGTTCAAAAGTCATTTTCTCCTAAATGCCCTGGTTTCAATGGTGGAACTGCATATCAGTCACTAGAGTGCTCTCTACTGCCCTACTCCATTGAGGTTTATTCAGTGGTCAGTCGTTGTAATTGCAAGTGAATTTCCTCTGAATCCAAGATGGCCGACAGTAAGCCACACTTGTTGACTACTGCTGGAATATCCTGTCAGACCTTCTATTCCAGAAGAACCGTAGATAAAAAAAAAAGATGATATACAGTAACATCTAAGTAATAATATCATTATTTTATTTTTGAAAAACTTGTTTAAGTAGTAAATTACAATTAACCATGTGTCCAATGAAGTGGACATCATGCATGGTCAAGTATATTTCTGACTCAAGTCATGTAATTGCTTTACCTTTTCTTGTGACCATTTTGATTTCATTTCGATATATTTTTGCTGTATTTTATAGGGTATTCATTTAAAAATGGATAGTCTTGTGCAGTTGTATTTTGTGTGAGTAACACTTATCATTTTGTCATATTTTGTAGACTGCAAGTGCAGCAAAGAATAAGGAAGCCTATAGAATAGTCCAGGAAATTCCCTCCATCTCCGGTGATGATGATTATAGTGACAGTGATGATGAGTGGCTGCCAGAGAACAATAGAGACATAGGAGCTGAGCTCTGGAAATTCCAAGACAACTACTTTGATGGAGACTTGCCTCTTTTTCTAGGAGACTGGAAAGTAAATGTTGAGGGAAGAGATCCAGTAGATTTCTTTAGGCATCTGTTTACTGCAGATCTCATTGATGATATAGTGCACAACACCAACTTGCATGCTCTCCAGAAAGGGAGAGAAAATCTGGCTGTGACAATAGAAGAAATGCAGATTCTTTTAGTGATTAACATAGTCATGCGGTACATTCGGTACCCTAGGGCATGAAGGTACTGGTCTAGTGAGGATGGCCTTCGTCTTGGATTAATTGCAAACGCCATGTCTGTGAACAGATATGATCAAATTCTTTGTGGATAACTATACTTGCCAGCCAGCAAACACCGATAGGCTCTTCAAAGTAAGACCAGCGCTGAGTGCACTCCAGGAAACATTCAAGGCAGCAGCAGACCCTGAAGAATTTCAGTCCACTGATGAGCAAATCATTCCCTTCAGAGGCCTTCTGTCTGTCAAACAATACATACCAAAAAAGCCCAAACCCTGGGGAGTGAAAGTATGGGTGAGGGCAGGGACCTCAGGCTATATGTACAGATTCGAAGTGTACCAGGGCTCTGCAAGACGTGAACGCGTCAGTTGGTTGGGAATGGCTGGAGATGTAGTGATGCGCCTTTGTGATGACATAAAGTGCAAAAACCATAAGGTCTTTTTTGACAACTACTTTTGCAGCATTCCACTCATTGAGGCCTTGAACGACTGTGGCATCTATGGCACAGATACATACAGAGCAAATAGGCTGAAGGGAGCAAATCAGAAACTCAAGAGCGAACAGCAACTGAAAGAAGAGGGCAGAGGGACTTGCTCTGTTGTCAGTGATAATGCAAACATCACTGTCACACGTTGGCTCGACAGCTCAGTCATCCACAATGGCCTCGTCCTGTAGTGGCCAGTCCCCTGAAGATGTGGCCAAGAGATGGGCCAAGAAGGAAAAAAACAATGCACAGGGTCCAAAGACCCTTTTCTGTGGCCATTTACAATCAACACATGGGTGGGGTCGATCTCGTTGACCAATGTGTGGCAATGTATCCCCACAGATGTAGGAACAAGTCTTGTTACATCCGAGTGTTTTTTCATTTTTTGGATGTGACCGTGGTAAATGCCTGGTGCCTCTACCTGATGTCTACATTGGAAAAGATGAATCTCCTCCTCTCCAAAGCTTCTGTAGCTCGTGCACTGATAAATGCTGGCTCCCTCCAGCAAAGCAGCATATTACAGAAGTGTTCAGAGATGCAAATATGTCTGTTCTTGCTGCTGAAAAAATATTAATGTTAGTATAATGACATAGTATAATACCAGTCCTGCATCCATAAAGAAGTATGGAGAGCCGGAATAATAAATGCCTGCTGTCTGTCTCTGATTAGACACTGCTCCCTGAGCTGTGAATACAGAACAAAAATCAATACCCAGATGATTTTAACAACATTCCAGATGTGAAAAGTTGATCTCTGTGGACAACAGCATCCAAATGCAATCCACTGACTAAACATGGGTTGATTAGACTACTGTCAGGAAGTCAGGACCCGTCCACTCTGTGAGCTTTATGACTTTTTCTGCATCAACATCCCAAACAAAGAGGCAGGATGTGATACAGCAGAGGAAAGAGGGTCTGTTTAACCGTGTCC